CTTCGCTCTGCTCAGTACCTGCTTTACGTGATGTAAGGCTAACTTTGTCTGCCACGATAAAGGCAGAGTAAAAACCTACACCGAATTGACCGATGAGGTTGGAATCTTTAGCAGCGTCCCCAGTGAGTTTGGCGAGGAACTCTTTTGTGCCAGACTTGGCAATGGTACCGATGTTATCGATAATTTCTTCACGTGTCATACCAATGCCGTTATCACGAATGGTGACGGTATTAGCCTGATCATCAAAATCAATTTCAATGCGCAGCTCGCCATCACCTTCGTAAAGCGCATCGTTAGAAATAGCTTCGAAGCGCAATTTGTCACAGGCGTCAGATGCATTCGAGATTAGCTCGCGCAGAAAGATTTCTTTATTCGAGTAAAGTGAGTGAATCATTAACTGAAGTAGTTGATCGACTTCAGTCTGAAATTGCATGTTTTCTTTATTTGCTGGTTTGGTCATAAGATTTTCCCTGATGTCTATAAACTTGTATGCAAAAAATGAGGGCGGGTCGATGAATTTCAACAGAGAAAGGCAGTATATTTATATATTTTTCGTATTTAGAGGAAATTAATACCTTGTCATGGCTTGAGTCAGCGTGTGAAATGTTTTTAGTCTATTATTGTTTTACAGGATTGATATTTGTCACGGTGTGGTGCTATGCTATATATTAGCATATGGCTATAAACTATGTTGTGTTTTTAGTTGTGCAATCACGCTAGGTAACGCAACGCTATGGAGGATCCTATGAAAACTAATATGAAACAAAGTATGAAAGTAATACTTCTCGCTGCTTTATTGGCAGCTCCACTTTCAGTCAATGCAAATTGGTTTGGAAATAACGGTGGCGGCAATGACTTCTTTGGAAGTAGCGGCGAATGGAAGATGGGTCCTAATGGCCCATATTATGATGATAGTGGCTGGCCTGTATGGACGCCCATGTATTGGATGGACGAGATGATGGATTCGTTTGACAATAATGACAATAACTGGGGTGGTTATGGTGGTGGGTATAACAATATGCCCTATGGAAATATGATGCCTTACGGTTATGCTGCTCCAAACTATGGTTATGGCGCGCCTTATGGTTACCCACAAATAGTACCGGTAGTTCCTGCACCCGTTGTACCAGCCCCCATGAAACAGGCGGAGCCAGCTGCTAAACCAACAGCTAAATAAGGACTCAGAAAAGTGCTGCAGATCCAGTATGCGGGGATACTGGATCAT